CTCTCCCTCTCCGTAACGCTAGAAGTGCGTGACAGAGGAGGATGAGTTTGCTATTTCTTCCTCTCCACTGAGCACTTCCCTCTTTCTGCTCACTCTCTCTTGTTTGTGCTCCTCCCTCCTTCAAACGCAGTTTTTTCTGTTTCCTGCTGCTAGTGAAAATAAAGATAAAGGCCTGTTTACACAGTTACACTCTGTGTAAGTGTGTATGAGCGATAGGAAGGAAGTCGTCACATCAACCGCAGTGACTTCTGTTACATTCCCACAGAAGAAGGCGAAGAGAGAGAAAATTCAAAGCTGTCAGAGCTCCTGCAGGATCCCAGAGGAATCAATTAAAGCTTTCAATAAAACTCCTTCAAGAGATCTGGTAACAGCTTCCCAATCAGCTGTAAGGAAAGAAACATTTAAGATTAAAGAAACGAACCGCGAGAAATCATTTCCATCACCAACATCAACTTTTTCCATCATTAAGGCTGTGTAACTTTTATAGAAAATATTTCTTAACCGATTTATTTTCTTTACAAATCTTTAATTTGTCCTCCAACCTTTGCAGCTAAATGCAAAACAAACTTTGGTTGCAGCTAATAAACTAAAACTGATCACTTTAAAAGTGGTTAAATGTTCTGTAATGATCCATATTAGCCTAACTTTTTATGGAACAAAAAACCTGCTACCCTTTTTATTGCCAATGTAAATTCTAGTTATTACAAGGTTGCCCAACGTGTGGCTCAGGGGCCATTAGTGGCACCTGGTATTATTCTTGACTGCAGTTCAGGAATATTAAAAAGTTAGCTCCTGAGCACAGGTGTTTGGTGCAGGTGGTTTATTTTTAATCGTGGCAGAAATCTTGGTAAATTATAAAGTATTCATCCTTAAATAACCACACAAATGTATTTAGTTCCAACCACACAGTGACCTAAATCTGACTCTTCTGGCTCCAGACTGATGAAACTTTTGCTAAATTTTTCAACAAACAACTGATAAACATTTCTTTAAATAATGTAAATCCACAAAAACTTTCTTAAGTTTTGGGTCTACAATTGTTTACACATCTCTACAATAAAAAACAAATCTGACATTTATTTAATTAAACTACCAAGTCGGTAAAATAAAAACATCATAGTGCAAGTTTTTATTAAAAATATGGCAGATTTTATGACGATTTTGGCACGTGACAAAAAGTTTGTGCACCCCTGAGTTAATAGGTCAAAATGGCTACACACGTTTCAGTGTGACATTCAATGTGCTACACTATCTTTCAATATTAAAGACTTTCAAAAGTAAATTAGCATAAAAGTATCTTTAACTGGCTACCTGTGAGTTTGGAGTCGCCTGATTCCTCTGCATAGTTTCTGACTAACATTCTTGACCTTTCCTACACGGGGTCAAACTAAAACCGGCCTCCAGCTCCCTCCGCATGTTTGTAGGTTTACATTTATCTTTAGATCTTGGAAGTTTAAAATATTACCACAGCTTCTGCGTTTTCACCCATGACTCAAAAGTTATGCTTTAAGTTGACGGTTTTTCAACACTCCTGGCTCTTATTTTGCCTTAGTTTGAAAAAGATACAAAGGTTTATTGAAGTTTAGATTCTCAGCTGGTTGATAAATCAACCCTATAAACAGGAAATAAATGCAAAGACTTTCATCTGCTATTTTAAAGTCGTCACTCTGGTTGTGGGTATGATGGATTTTTCCAAAACGGCTGAGAAATTCAAATTCCTCCGAAAATCCGCAGAAAGCTTAAGCCACTCCACTACCCGTTGTGTTCATCAAGCAAAGGTGCTGAGAAATTCTTTCGCCGTTTTAAGCTGCTTATGGAGTTCGGCTGATCCGATTTAAATGCTGACAGACAGAAATATGGGGAAGAAACGGGAGGGTGAGGAAAAGCAATGCATCTTGTATAAGATGGTCTGTCTTCTAGTAGGACGATGTTTGAGTTTTACATTCATTCTTTATGGAAAACAAAGGTACAGCTACATAAGAGATTAAATGTTATTTATTTTCCTTGTGAATTAGTGCTATAAAAACTGAACTAAATAAAAAATTATTGTATATATTATTTTTGAAAGTAAAAGCAGACAAATCTAACGATATTCCTACACGCTGTTGATAAAAATAATAATACTAAAGTCGCCCTCAGCAAGGCAAAAAACAAGGAATATACAAGAGTAAAAGGTAGAAAAGAAGGAAAGGAAGGAAGGATACATAGGAGGATGTGAGGTAGGACACAAAGAAAAGTGCATAAAAAAGGAAATGAGGAAAAGAAAAGAAAGGGAAGAGAAAGGAGAACACAAGGAAGGAAAGAAATGAAGGACATAAGGAAAGTAAAAATAAAAAAAAAGAAAGAAAGAAAAGCAGAAATGAGTCGGGAAGTAAGAATGATAGGCAACAAGAACTATATAAGTATATGAATGAGGAAAGGAGAAAAAATGAATAAAGGAAGGATGGACAGATCATTTCGACATTGGGATAAAAATAAATTCTGGAATACAATCCTTTTATTTTTTCCACACTTATCCAGACATGGAAAATAAATTCCAGATTGTTCCAGACAGCAGATTATAATGCATGTGAAGCTTTCATAGACAGGAAACGTGTGTGTGTGTATGCGTGTGTGTGTGTGTGTGTGTGTGTGTGTGAGAGTGTGTTGTGTGTGTGAGAGTGTGTGTGCGTGTGTGATGCTGTTTCACTGCAGGCTGATGTGACCTGCTCTGACCTGCAGGGGGCTGAAGTTAGATGGATAAGACAGAAGTGAAAGAGTGAAGAGAAGCGCATGAAACGCATGACAGGCATCGTTTCATCTCCATCTCTATCCGACGCTTCATGCCGTTGCATCCACAGGGAATATTCTATTTAAAGCTTGAAAGTGGTTTAAAAATATAACAGACGAGGGGCATAAATTCATGAGGAAAGCTTCAGGCAACCACAGATGTTTTTTTTATGTTTATGTCATTCAATATGTGTTCATGATCTGTATTTTTTTAACTCATGAGTGCAAAACTGAAGACTGGTTTTGGTTTGTGATTGTTAGCTTATGTTCCTTTGACTCCACAGATCCTAAACTATTTTTCTGACAAATTCCACTAGAGCTCTCTGCGGATGAGTACAAAAATCTACCGGCTCCAAATTAAGCAAAATTAGCAAAAAGTTTTCTACCAAACTTTAGTTTAGAATAAATTCAGGCAAACAAAAATAAATTGTTAACCAGAATCTGACAATTATCTGCCAGCTTGGGATAATTGATATATAACAATCAGGTTGGAAACTGAAAAAATTGATCTTTTTCTGCTTTACCAAGTTGCACTAACAGTAACAACCCTCAGTGTGGAAGTTGTTACTGAAGTCTCAAACTTTGGCTTTTTCATTATTTTTGTGGTGGTACCGAGATGGAAGAAGCTTTTTTTTTTAAAGAGAAACAGTATTTTTAAAGATGTATGTTAAACGTATGCACTCCCTTAGGCTGTGAGAGCGAGTAAAACCTCTACACTTAACAGGAACACCAAACAGAAAACTGCCCAGCTGCTTTCTTTTATTTCAGCTTTCAACCTCTGTCTGTTAAGGAACGTGGAGGATTTGAATATCCTGGCTCTTTGCAGGGATTGCATTTCTATAAACAAGAAAATGTCTGCAATAAGGTCCTAATTTAGAGAAACAATAAAACTAATTTCTTTTGCAATTTCCCCTTTTTTAGCGTAAAATGCAACGCCCTGTTTTATTTAGAAAAAAAAAAGATGAAGTTGTGTTTAATCATGCAGACGGCCTTGCTTAAGACAAGTTGAATAAGAATGAAAAAGTTGGACAGAAAATCCTAATCATCCAATTGCATGTTATATTTGCATTTCTGTTTGAGAAAATGGCAAAAAATAAACTTTAGTCAAAAGGAACTCATGTTTCAGGAGTCAAGGAGGAAAAGATAAATAAAGAACAGATACAAGAAGAAACGGAGTACAGAAAGATAAAGAGAACGAGATACAAAGTATAAAAGATACAGCTTTTTCTTTATCTCACCTATTAAGTAGCAGTGAGGAATCAGGAAGTGCTTTTAATGTTTGAGAATCCAGAATATTGTTGAAACATTAACTTAAGCAGTATAGACAAGTTAAAACCTCAGAATGAACCAATATTTAACCAAATCAAGGAAGCAGGAACTGCAGGAAGGCTTGGAAATGGCATGATTTGACTTTTACTATAATTCAAAAAAGGAATGTGAAAGAAAGCAGCATTTGCTTCTCATTCATGAGAAGAAGGCTGACAAATCTGCATATTTATGCATATGTAATATGTTTTTGCTTTTGTACACATTGTACTTCTACAAGATTTCACAAGTAAGCCAGAGATAAGAAGTGAGTCACAGAGTTGACATCCTGTATGTACTAAAACTAAGACACAGTCACACAGTGGGTGAAACAAACGCCTAGAACGTGTTACTCTAGATTGCAGTCTTGTACTTTTGTGTCTTGCCTAAAAGGGAGCAAAAATAATCCTTTAAAATCTAACAAATGGAAAACCTTCCTGGTTATGTACCTTTTTCCTACTCCTATCCCATCAGTCCCCTGCTGACATACACACATGCATACATATCAAGAACACGCTGTGCTGCTATGGTCTCTGGTGATTTCAGCAAATTCCCTAAATACCAGCAGCCTACTTTCAGCAGCAAGATGGTAACATGTGCCTGAGGAAATTTAACGAAAACAGACACTGATGTTCTGAGAAAAAATAGGTCTCCTATTTCCCTGAAGAACAATTAAATTATAAAATGTAAAAGAAAGACGGTAAAGAGTATGTCTATTTGTTGTTTTTTTTCTGCTTATTCTAAAAGCAAATGTTAGATTTTCAGTTTTTTTCTTTCCAAAAGCACTATTTTCTAACGGCATTTCTTTAAAAGAGTCACTGCACTAAAACTTAAAGGCTCCAAAAGAATGCACATAAAGCCATGTGAGTTATGAAGTAAGAAGTCAGGACGGTATTTAGAGCGTGCCGAGTTTTTATTTCTTAATTTCATAGTTCAAAATGAAGTTGAGCACCAAACAAAAGCATTTTGGTTTCCTGTGGTACCTTGATGTTGCAGGCCTGCTCCATTAGCCGCCGCGCGTTCTCTGCAGCTCTGTAGCGCTTCGGTAGCTGGACCCGGAAGAACTTGAGAGCCCCCTCAAAGTCCGCCTGCAGGAGGTCTTCTTTGGACGTCTGGGGGGAGACAAGAAGAGGTGGATGAGACACAGCAGCACAAACACCAAGCACAGAGACTCCACAATGTGTCTCCTTCTGCATGCAAGCTGATTAACAACAAGGTCAGAGTCATGCAGGTAAATACATGAGGCAGCACAGTTTCTGCTAACATGAACAGCAAATACTTGATAGAGTAGAACAGTAAAAATGAGAAATGTAATCTCTTTTTATTGAGAAAAATATTAAAATTTTACTGACAACATAAAATTTAAAGTGTTTTTGTTCTAGTTTCTAGTGCAAATATCTTAGTTCACTTGAAATAAGACAAGTAACTTACAAGTAACTTTTCATCAGAGTATAGGAGCTTGTTTACAGTCAATATGTCCTCAATATTGATGTAAAAGTACTAATTATAACCAAAATAATAATCTGCCAGTGGAACAAGACATCCATCGCATAAGTCAAAATGTCTTGTTCCACTGGCAGATTATTTCACTTATAACTAGAACTTTTTAAATTAATGTCAAGGAATTATTGAGTTAAAACAAGCCCCCATATCTGGCTGAATAGTTACTTTTAAGTTAGTTTTGTCTTATTTCAAGTGTATTAAAATATTTGCACTAGAAATTACACCAAACATCCTTGGTATGATTTTGTGTTTTTGCACTGGAAGTCACTCTCTAATGTCCAGAGTTTTCCTTTTCTGCAAGAACTGTAAGAAAATCTAAAACATTGTTTGATCCATCTAATAAAATCTCTATAAAAAACACTACAATTTTGCAATGTGACAACATCTGGAGAAGTTCAAGGGGTAGAGATACGTTTGAAGTAAAATTTAAGGTGCAAACTTTTTTCTTTTTTTTTTTTTTACTTTGCTACAATTCTTAATCTTTCTGCTAATAGTTCTTATATTTATTTAATACAAAGAAGGCATGGGCAGATTTTTGGGTCAGTTATGTGAAGGAACATGTCTGTTTTTGCTTCTGTAAGTTTTTAAGTTCATTAAAGAGTAGCTGTCATAAAAAGGAGGAAAGCAGCTTTATTTTCACCTTAAACTTAAGTCTGAGGGAAGCAGAGTCATTATGCATGCCCCTGTAATCTAGGAAAGGGCAGGACAATACGACTGGAAAACATAAAAGCATTTTACATCAGTCAATATCAATAACTATTGATTAATCTTTTGTTTTAAATATTTGAAGTACAGCCAAACTGGAGGCGTGACAGTTCCAGTTTATCCACAGTTTTCACTCAGCGCAGTTGTTTTTCATTTTTAAGAAGTTATGAGGCACAGTGGCGAAACTTAAACTGCTGCAGCACAAGCTACTCAGCAGGTTGCTGCTAGGTAACCACAAGTTACTCAGGAGGTTGTTGCTAAGTAACCACAAGTTACTCAGGAGGTCGTTGCTAGGTAACCACAAGTTACTCAGGAGGTCGTTGCTAGGTAACCAAAGAGTGAGTTGATGCCCCCAATCTTGCTTAGCTTCCCGTTAGAAGTTGAGCAGCTAAAGTTTTTCCTCTGCCTACGTCTCCCAGAATGCTGTGCGTTTCTGCGGAGTTCAGTGAATATTCTATCTACTAAATATTCCGTCAGACACATTATCTATTGATATTGATCATGTCATGTGTTTATTGTGATACATATTGTTATTGATTTATTCTCCAGTCCTAATCGCAGATGAAATAATGGGATGAAATTTTGCTTTTTGTTTCATTCTATCTTCAGGATGAGTCAGAAAAATCAACAATGCATGCCGTGCGAATTTAATCCAGGAGGTTTATTCCAGTTTGTCTCGTCTCACCGCCAGCAGCCTGGGGACGAAGAGTCTGTGTCCCATCCCAAGAAGGTCCATGACCCTGCAGTAAGGGTCTGCTGAGGTTTGGCTGCCCTGGGCGCTCTCCTCCTCTTTTCCCTCACCATCCTCCAACGCCCTGCATGCTGCCGGGAGGCTCAGGTGAGGGTTCAGGGCCGGGACAGGGGGCGGAGAGGGCGGCGGGGAGCGTGGCGGAGACGGCGGCGGCGTGGGACAGGGCAGGGGGGAGGGGTCGTCCCGCTCCGGGGCCAGGCTGGCAGCTGACTCCAGGGTGTCGGGCAGAAGTTTCGACGTTGGCGCAGCAACGGCGGGGTGCGACGGAACTCAGTTAGCGGCGATCTCTCAGGGTTGTTTGAGTCTGGGTGGACGTAGTGTGGAGGCCCCTCAGCTTGTCCCGCTGTCAGAGCCTCAGCTCGGCCCCCCGATGCCTCAGAACCACAGTCAGAAAACGATGAGTCGACACCACCGTCTGCATAATGCCGAGTCCTACAGCAGCGTATTTATTCACTCTGGAAATTCAGTCACACTTCCTACTCTCGGCTTCCTCTGCAAAAACTCCGACCAATTCCAGTCCGGTATGCTGTCGCCTAGCAACAAAACGGCTCAACACGTGGGCTGCTGCTCCATGAAACTGAAGCGGAGACGAGAACCCCACCTTTTTTTGATTTCTTCTTTTATGTTAAACTTCAAATCCCTTCTCCCCTGACGACGCTTTAGCTTTCTTTGAAATGCAAAGCAACAACACAGCTCTTCATCCGCTCTCTGAAGCTGGAACAGTCGGCGCAGAGAGACAAGAGGAGGTTTGTTAACGCTGGAAATGTGGCACCTCTCCTCTGCCTGCAGGAGATGATGCTCTGTGTTACTTTATGGCTGAGTGGGTGCTAGACTCACGCAAACCAGTGATGCATTAAAAACCAGAATAAGAAGGAACAGAAAACATAAACTGCTCTTTTTCCTCACAGATCCACGCAGGATTAGCGAGTAAAATCATTTTCCAGTCAGCTGCTCCAGCAGGATCCTGTTAGCAGCCGGGCATCCGGTCTGATCTTTCAGATGAAGCCAGCTCCTTCAGAGAGGAAGTTACTTCTGATCCACACAGGATGAGTGCTGGCATGAGTCGATGTTGTAGTAGCACTGTCAGAAATGTTGGTCCTGCCCAGCAGCCGGGGCGAGGCAAAGCAAAGAGACCTCAGCTTCCCATGAAGCCTCTCCCAACCTTTGTGATGCTAACTGCTGAAATGCTAACAGCTGGCAGGGGCGGCTTCGTTGCAGATGGTGGACGGAAGAAACGCGTGGTAGAAATAAATGTTCAGCAGAGAGAGAGCAGAGGAAGAGATGGAAGGAGAGGAGAAGGAGGCAAAAAGGCGAGAAATCGAGGGAAAGAAGATGCTCCGAGCATGAATCCGAGGAAGGTAAAGATGAAGAGGGTGGGATAAAAAGAATCGAAAGCTGAGATTTTCTCCCTCTGGCTCACGTTGCTAATGTTATAGTCAATGCTCCTGTTGTGATGTGGATAGCAACTGCTAAGCTGGGCAGGGAGGGAGGCGAGCGCAGATGAAGGGAGGGGTGGCGAGAGCAGCGGGGAGCGCAGGAGGGAAGGAGGAGGGAGCATCGGAGGATAATGTCGTCATGACCGGCCAATAAGAGGCAGGCAGTGGGAGCTCCTCCACTCTCCTCCTCCTCCTCTTCATCATCCTGGCCATCCTCATTTGTTCCCATTTCAAACCACTGAATCCTCAAAATCTCCACTTTGCTTCTATATAGCTTAATTTGTCAAAAATATATAAACATTCACACAGTTTTACCACATGATCAAACTTACTGTTTCTTCACAGCCATGTTGTTATATTCACATTGGTATCGTTTGAAGTTTTATTTGCATCATCATCGGTTTTTTTATGTGTGAATGCAATGAATAAATTATTCTGTTCTATTCAAAACAAACATTTGTTTCAATAAAATATACAGCTGGTGAAATATCTATTGTACTTTCAAAAGAAGGTTCTTCTCTGCTGTTTTCTGAGCAGCAGCCTGTTGTCGTCTCTGCAGATGCTCTTCATGCTTTCACATATGAAATAATTACTGTTATTACGACTGTTATCAATATTATTGTTACTAATTAGCGAAGTTGTGTATTATTACTGCATCGTGGAATATTGCATTTTAAAAATACATTTCTTCTTAATTATATGTTGCTCGTGGTTATGTTTTATTTACTAATAATTTAACAATTTGTGAACAAATATGCAATTTCTTCTGGGGGATTAATAAAATCTATTCTGTTCTATGTTGATATAGAATGACTGATTCTTGCTCAAAGTGGCGTGCATTGTCCCAGAGATTGATATGGATTTAGACAACCCTAAGTAAAAATGAATAATAATTCACTAGGTGATCCTATTAATGTAAGAGGGGTGGGTGTAAATATAAGTTTATACTTCTGCTTTGAACGTGTATATATATGTTATTGTTGTTGTTTCTCTTGCGTTTGTTTTAAATTTATTTTCCTTGTTTATAACTTTGTTCAATAAAGTCAAACTCAAACTTATTCATGTGGCTTGGTCCCCCTAATAAAATATTTTCATGAAGTACTACCACATTTTAAACTAATACAGCCTTTCAAAACTTTCTAACTTTAAAGCTTTTCAGCTAATCTTTACCTATTTTTTGTTTTGAAACCGTCAACTGGAGCCAAACATGCCTGATGTATAAAAGGCCCACAGACATCCTAGTGTCTAAGATAAATTATTCTCTACAGTCACTAATTCAAGAAAATTTTAATAATATCCAAAAACCTTGATTCTAAATCTGTTCAAAAGCAAAGACACATTGTCTTTTTTTCTGCAAGATTTTTTTAAATTGTAAAAACGAAAAATACATTAATATGACACTAAATGAAAAGTAAATCAGATGCAGTTAGATCTGTAGTCTGTCTAATAGATGGGTAACAAATATGTATTCACACCAAAATTTTCAGCACTGACCGGAGACTTTAAAATCCAACTGTGTACATTTACATCCCTACTGCAAACAAAGAACAGGAGGCCCCATGTTTGTCTCTAAAGAACAGCAAAACATGGACTATAAATTACACAAAATCCACCACAAGTCAGAAAAACATGACATGAACAAAGCCACTGCAGCATTTTTTCATTTAGAAATAAAGAATGCATACATTTGTCTTATTTATTGTTTCAATATAAGAAGATGTTGGTGAAAGAAAATAATCCCAACTAACAAGAGTTCATATAACTCTGATTAGCAACCAGATAAAACAGAAAGTTGTTTTTATTTCTCTCTTCTTTATCATTTTGGCATTTTATTCATGCCAAAGTGTGAAAAGGCATTCACTCTCCCGATGTCTAGATGCAGTTCTTTTTATGTCCACTTGAGGGCACCACATGTTAGAAAATGAATTTAAACGACACCCAACGCTCCAGTGTCCAGATTTTAGAGACGAGAACGATGATGATGGTGGAAGTCAAACTGTACAGTATTTTTTGCAATATCAAGGTTTTTGCAACAAAAATAATGGATAAGCAGTCAAATAAAGCTTAAATTAAAACAAAGGATGCCCAAATTTTACATAGAAGCTAATTGCTTAGCTAGACACAATAAAAGATGTTAGAATTAAATAAATGTATGAATATATTACTAACCTTGAGCAAAGCCAGGGCCACATTGAAGATGATGCTCAGTCCCTTTAAGACACAGAGAAAGATGTAAGAAGAAGAGAAAAACGACATGGACAACTTTCCTGTTACTTTGCAAAAAAACAAAAACAAAAAAATAAAACAAAAAATAAACGGTAACACTTTATTTGAAGGGGGGTGAATAACATGACATGACATAACACCTGTCATGAACATGAATAAGCCTTCATGAATATTTATGACTGTTGTCATAAAGCGTCATTCGGTAAATTATGACACTTTTAATACAAAGTTGACATTATTCAAAATGTCTTTGTTATGATAACTTGACATTAACCAAGAAATCTTACTGATATAAATTTGTTATAAAAGTATTACTGATTGCACTTTAAAAATTAGGTAACTTTATGTTATTAAAGGTAAAGTTTAAACAGTAATTATTTCTTGGTTAATGTCAAGTTGTCATAACAAAGACATATTGAATAATGTCAACTTTGTATTAAAAGTGTCATAATTTACCGAATGACGCTTTATGACAATAGTCATAAATATTCATGAAGACTTATTCATGTTCATGACAGGTGTTTATGACATGTTTATAACAGTGTCATGACAGTCTTATTCACCCCCCCTTCAAATAAAGTGTTACTAAATAAACAAACAAAAAATTGTAAACTTTAAGTTTCATTACCAGCTTAATTTTTTCTTTTCAAAACATTAATTCTCCAGATTCAATATTACCCCATTTTGAAACTACAAGTAAAAGATACCGTATAGAAACACTAGATATTTCTATAGTGGTCCTGCTAAAGTATTTATACCTCTTGAAATGTTTTATTTAGTTACATCTTACATAAATATTTCATTGCTTTCGAGAGGGGGTTATAGGAGATCTCTGTGACAAGTCAACAGGAAGTATAGAATAATAGTGAAATGGAAGAAAAAATGATGCATTGATTTCAATAGTTTTTACTCACAGAAACCTGCATTTGTCCTGTCACTTTTGGAGTAAATCCCAGCCTTAATTGTCCACTAAACATTTAAATCATTCTTAGATAATGTAAGTTTAGTCTGGTCAGTTCTGCCTATTTTAATCTCCAATCAGAATGTGATGCTTTAGGGCGTCCTGTCACTTTAAATCCAAATTTACCGCTGCTGGTCACGTCCCCAACTCAACGTTTACATTCACATGTGAAAATGGCTACAAACAGATGTGCAATTATACAACCATCTTTGAAAAGTAGAAGTAGAGCCTCCTGCACAACCAACAAGAATGCAGCAAGTGTTTTCTGGATGGTAAGTCGACAACAAAACACCAGCTGACTCTGCCTGGGTTGCTAGGCAACGGGTTGGGCTCAGCTAGGGTTTTCTGCTGATTTGTGACTTACATTCTGAAGGCTTTTGAAATGGCTCCTTTTTCAGACACCAAAAACTTATTGCCAAAAACTGACTGGGATTCTTTTTTTATTGCTTGGGCTGTTTTAAGAAGCAAAAATGTGAGTTTTGCATAACACATTCCCTTTAAGATGAACTCAGGTATGACCTCCCTATGTGTTACAATTCAAAATATTGTCTATATTCTGTTAAAAAAGTATTTCACAGCTTTCTTTCTTAGCTTTATGCCCGTGGCTGCTGTAAAAACCTGCTCTTTGCTTTCCATTTTACTGTGACACTTCTTTCAATTTTGACACAAAAAGAAAATGTAGAACCGATGCCAGCTCTGCATGGGAACACCCCTCTCCTTGGTCTCTGGGACAACCAGTTCACATGGCAACATGGAGCTAAAAATATCCAGAGCGCTCCAAAAATAACCGAAGAAAATGAAAAGAGGATGGGCTCTGCCTCCACACACCGATCTTTGTGGGCCTGAAGATGGTGCTACCATGCTGAGCCAAGATCAAAGGAGCGTGTGAGGGAAAGAAATACCAACTCATCCCAGCAAGGAAGAATCAGAGGAGATGAAAGCCAAATATTCAGAAAGGGGAGGACACAGTATGGGTGTGTTAGGAAGTTTTCACAAATACTAAAGTGAGGCGAATTGAGCAGATCCAGCAAGGTCACTCTTTTAAAAAAGACATGAAATGAGTTTCTGCCCTGAGTTCTGGTTTCCAAATGAGAAAAAAATATCTAGACTGAGAAGTAAACACAAAGGCTGAACATTTTGAATCATGAAACAGGCTTACAAGTTCAGCTCTGTAAACAAGGTTGTGAATTAGATGGAGATTGTTGCTAAGACTGAGAAAAATAAAGATAATCTCTTTAATTTTTAAATTTAGACCCAAAAAGAGGAGAGTTTTAGCTGGATGCGAGAGCTGAGGTTTTACTGGCATGTTTTCATCCTGCAGCTCATTGGCTGAGAAAAAACAAGGAAACTTTTAATTATTCTGCCTCAGGCCCACAGAAGGAGAGAGGAGGAGGGAGGACAGCAGGAAAGAGGAGGAACATATTTCATGTTGATTGTTTGTGCAAAGAAACTTTTCATAAAAAACCCCAATAGGTTTTAGAATCACTAGAATCACTACAAGAAATATCGAAAAACTGATTTTTGTAAGCATTCAGTAGCTCAAATCAGAAGTTTAAATACATTCATACACTAAGATTATTATACTTTTTAACAATTTCAGAGCCCCAGATTATGATTTAATGACTTTTAAAGCTTCTGATGAGGTTGATTCATGTCTCAAAATCCTAGAAGTGACCGCCTTCATCTGTTCAAATAACCATGTGTCAGCATAAAAAGCACATGAACTCAAACTATCATGGCATTTAGGAAGAAGGTAACATATTGAGCCTGCTAATTATTTGTACATTTTGAAAGAAAATGTAGAAATGAACCAAACAGCAGCAATATAGTTTCTAAAAACATTAGCTGAAGCTTGTGAGTGTCAATATCCACAGAGAACTGAGTTCTGTACTCACATACTCAATTATTTTATATTCACAGTATAAAAGGCAATTTTATCAAATACCAAGAAAATATAAACCTCTGAACTTGAGGAAAGTTTAAAACAATCCTGTCAAAGATTTTCTGGCATGCAGCAAATAGAAATCACTTTGGCACCTATTAATCCCTTATTCTGCCACAAGATATAATTAAATGTTTGTAGAAATTCTGGTTTCAATTATAATCTAGCTAATAATTAGGTAAAATAACTGAATAAACCCCAAATGTTCTTTGCTGTCAACTACTTTTCCTGTCAGATGTATTAAAGCTTGTTTAAAATTATTGATTTTCTGGCACAAATCTCAGTTTGAAGCTCATAATTTTTAAGTAGGGCAGGCTGGCATGTTTGAAGGAGGCTTTAAACCTTAAAACCCTCAGCATGGTGGTCAATCTGAGGGTCCATTTCATTACCAGTGGTGCTGGTGAGCTGCACAAAGGGAATGGGGAAGAGGCAGATAAGATGAAATGAGAAGGATTACCTCGAGATTTATTTACTTCACCTTCAGCCAATAGTTTCTGATTAAAACCCTTTTTGTGCACAATTAAATGTTCCAACAGGGCAGAGATCTCAGCACATCTTTACTTCGACAGCCCAACCTCATCCCTATTGAAAATATGTGCTTAAAGATCAGGTATTTCACATCAGATTTACTTTTATTGTGCCATAAGAAAGCACAACAACATTTTAAAAATAGCCACTCTTGAAGGCCTGTCAAATACCTGAATAAAATAATAATAAATAAATATATTTCAATAAATATAGTAGAAACACAGAGCAACTGGGATGTTAAGGAAAAATAAATAAATTAGCTAATTAATTATATTAAATTAGTAAATAATTTGCCAGGAACTCTAAAAATGTAAACTTCTGCAGTTGTGATATAAAAAAACCAAGTGGTAAAATATCAGGTCAGAACTGTCGGACGTTAAACGTTTTGACAGAAATGTGAGAAGGTGAGAAAAGTGAGAAGGACCAAAATTTTAAAAAATAAAAGTAGATGTATGTACAGTACAAATTGAAGGCTGACATTTTGACTCTGATTGGATTATAAAAAACATTCAATAAATTAAAGTTGTGCATCCAGTTCTAATTAGTTTCAGTTTTATCAGTCTAACTGTTTTAAAAGCACAATTAAAAGCTCCAAAAACATTAATACCAATGAGGAGTGCATGTAAACTTCTGACCACATCTCTACTTGTGGCTATAGGTTCAGATCAACCATTTTCCTCCACAATCATCTCTTTTTATTCCCATTTGTAATCACTTTAGTCAATCCATAATGGTGGCTAACCCTCTAATGTCTGCCACTCTCCTTTCTTCCTATTAACCCTGCCATTTCATCTTATTTCATGTTTCCAGATGGTTGAATTTCCCATTAAGCGATTCTATACATACAATGCAGACAAAATCCCTCTCACAATGCTCCAAGTACACCACTTTGTGCTGCCTTTACCTCACAAAGCAGCAAGTCAGTGATGTGGAAAACCATGCAGAGGGGGAACTTGGCCGTAAAGAGGGTGAGGAACCACTGGGAGGCATACATGTGTGCCTCCAGGTTCAGCTCCTGGAAGTGGGCCCAAAGGTCTGGGAGCTGTTCCTGCGGGAGCAGAATGAAAAAAAGGATAAGGAAAGTCTTTTGTGAGATGAAAGAACCATCACAGCAATATAAAGCAAAGATGCAGTACTGCTCATGGCTTCTATTTTAAATTTCAGTGACATAACAATGAGCGATTGATCCGAATTGAAACCAAAATCACAGAGTAAGCTCTTTAAAAAAGCATAAGAAACTCTATGACCAGCACTCTACTCCAATAAAATGTTGATTTGAAAACAATTAGAAAAGGATCGACCATAAATGAGCATAGTTTTAAAATGTAGTCAATACGGAGTGTTTTATAATATTAGTAATCTGAGCACAATTATCAATGCACATTCTTTTTTACTTAAAAAAATGTGTCTGCAGAAATTCACATTCAAAATATTCTCCAAAAATTTTGGCTGCAAAAAGTCAACTGCAGAAATTTGCCTAAGAAATAATTCTCCTATATTACACTAACATTATGTTAGTATTTTAGCTAATAATTGCATATCAACAGCTGTGTGAATAGCAGGTGGTATTATCTAGCATTATCTATTAGCTAAAATGCCATATCTAGCACCTAGCTACATGCTAATATATTAGCCAATGTTAGCATAGCAGATAGAGTTAGCAGCAATTAGCAACCTCACTTTTGCATTTTTATGGTTTGGTATTTATGTCTATTGAGAGTCGATTAACATGTTAGCTAAATCTAAATGGAATATAATTTAGCATAGTAGCATCTAATCCTAGCATAGTAGAAAATGTTGACTGCTCAAAGCTACCATGCTAATGTTAGCACATTAACTAAGTTGGTATTTTTGTTAATGATAGCATAACAGCTGGTGCTAGCAGAACAGTGTTATGTACATTTACCTGACATGCTTTACTCAGTGTTAATAAACATTTTAGTCTTTTATTTTTTCCTATTATCTATTTTTCTGGTTTCCAGAAAAATAGATAAGAGAGGAGTAATACGGTTTTCCACATTCACTTTGCATTTTAAAGGAAATGTAAATTCTTAGTTCTATTTTAATTTATGTCTTCGTTGTTTATATTACAGTTTATGGTCACATCCAGTTAGAACAGTGGACTGATGTAATAAAGCCTCCACCAGTGCTGTTTGCCGCCTTTGATTACGTCCATTTTATTAATGGCCTTATTCAGTTCAACGATAATTTGGTTTTTTTAGTGTCATCACAGATTTACTGAGGCTTGATTTTCAACACACCTCTCCATATTCTTGTGACATTCAAGTATATTTGGTGACCAGAGGGAAAAGTTGACAAGCAACAGATATGTGAGAAAATGCAACTGATGCAACACCCTGCAACACTTAAAAAAAGTGTTTGCAACAACATGTAAGACCAACATGTCCATTCCTAAAACATACATTTATAAAACTCTACTAATATGTCCAGTTAGGATTGTGTTTCCAAACATTATGTTGCATTTCATTTCACCGTGACTTGTCTTTTAAAACATACAGGATGGTTTCACCGACCTGCATTAGTTTCTCCAGCTGATAGAACTTGCAGTGAAGATCTTCAAAGTTGTTTTTGTACAGAGCTCTGAGGCCATATTCATACATTATCTTCACCAAGACACAGAAGGCCTGCTCCTCAGGCATCTGAAAACACACAGATAACGTCATTAATTACACTAACAGATACCTTGAACAACAAAATGTCCATATGATGTTATAGGTGACATTATTACTGTCTCAAAATAAACATTTATGTACAGAGGAAAGTTGGGGACATAACTTTAAAGATGACCCTGTTTAGGAAAAGTCTATGATCTAAAAAAAAAAAAAACAACAAAACAAAAAAATAAATAAATAAATAAATAAATAAATAAAATATATATATATATATATATATATATATATATTTTTTTTTTTTTTTTTTTTACAAAAAATCATTTTTAAAAAAAGGGGGTTTATTTTTCTCCGCTTTTCCTTTTTT